TGGTAACACAGGGTAGTTCCCCTTTAACATGCTGGTAATACAGAATAGTTCCCCGGTAACATACTGGTAATACAGAATAGTTCCCCGGTAACATACTGGTACGACAGGATGGTTCCCAAGTAACAAGCTGGTAACACAGGATGGTTCCCAAGTAACAAGCTGGTAACACAGGATAGTTCCCCAGTAACATGCTGGTAAGACAGGATAGTTCCCCTTTAACATGCTGGTAAGACAGGATAGTTCCCCAGTAACATGCTGGTAAGACAGGATAGTTCCCCAGTAACATGCTGGTAAGACGGGATAGTTCCTCAGTAACATGCTGGTAATACAGGATCATTCCCCAGTAACATGCTGGTAAGACAGGATAGTTCCTCAGTAACAAACTGGTATGACAGGATAGTTCCCCTTTAACATGCTGATAAGACAGAACAGTTCCCCAGTAACAAGCTGGTAAGACAGGATAGTTCCCCTGTAAGATGCTGGTACGACAGGATGGTTCCCCAGTAACATGCTGGTAAGACAGGATAGTTCCCCTTTAACATGCTGGTAAGACAGGATAGTTCCCCAGAAACATGCTGGTAAGACAGGATAGTTCCCCAGTAACATGCTGGTAAGACAGGATAGTTCCCCTTCAACATGCTGGTAAGACAGGATAGCTCCCCAGAAACATGCTGGTAAGACAGGATAGTTCCCCAGTAACATGCTGGTAAGACAGGACAGTTCCCCTTTAACATGCTGGTAAGATAGGATAGTTCCCCAGTAACATGCTGGTAAGACAGGATAGTTCCCCTTTAACATGCTGGTAAGACAGGATAGTTCCCCAGTAACATGCTGGTAAGACAGGATAGTTCCCCAGTAACATGCTGGTACGACAGGATAGTTCCCCAGTAACATGCTGGTAAGACAGGATAGTTCCCCAGTAACATGCTGGTAAGACAGGATAGTTCCCCAGTAACATGCTGGTAAGACAGCATAGTTCCCCAGTAACATGCTGGTAAGACAGGATAGTTCCCCAGTAACATGCTGGTAAGAGAGAATTGTTCCCCAGTAACATGCTGGTAAGACAGGATAGCTCCCCAGTAACATGCTGGTAAGACAGGATAGTTCCCCTTTAACATGCTGGTAAGACAGAAAAGTTCCCCAGTAACATGCTGGTAAGACAGGATAGTTCCCCAGTAACATGCTGTTAAGATAGGATAGTTCCCCTTTAACACGCTGGTAAGACAGGATAGTTCCCCTGGAACATGCTGGTAAGACAGAATAGTTCCCCAGTAACATGCTGGTAAGACAGGATAGTTCCCCTGTAACATGCTGGTAAGACAGGATAGCTCCCCAGTAACATTGTGGTAAGACAGGATAGTTCCCCTGGAACATGGTGGTACGACAGGATAGCTCCCCAGTAACATGCTGGTAAGACAGGATAGTTCCCCAGTAACATGCTGGTAAGACAGGATAGTTCCCCTGGAACATGCTGGTAAGACAGGATAGTGTACGACGGGATAGTTTCCCAGTAACATGCTGGTAACACAGGATAGTTCCCCAGTAACATGCTGGTACGACAGGATAGCTCCCCAGTAACATGCTGGTACGACAGGATAGTTCCCCAGTAACATGCTGGTAAGACAGGATCGTTCCCCAGTAACATGCTGGTAAGACAGGATAGTTCCCCTTTAACATGCTGGTAATACAGAATAGTTCCCCAGTAACATGCTGGTAAGAGAGGATAGTTCCCCAGTAACATGCTGGTAATACAGAATAGTTCCCCAGTAACATGCTGGTAGGACAGGATAGTTCCCCAGTAACAAGCTGGTAAGACAGGATAGTTCCCCAGTAACATGCTGGTACGACAGGATAGTTCCCCAGTAACATGCTGGTAAGACAGGATAGTGTACGACGGGATAGTTTCCCAGTAACATGCTGGTAACACAGGATAGTTCCCCAGTAACATGCTGGTACGACAGGATAGCTCCCCAGTAACATGCTGGTGCGACAGGATAGTTCCCCAGTAACATGCTGGTAAGACAGGATAGTTCCCCAGTAACATGCTGGTAAGACAGGATAGTTCCCCTTTAACATGCTGGTAATACAGAATAGTTCCCCAGTAACATGCTGGTAAGAGAGGATAGTTCCCCAGTAACATGCTGGTAATACAGAATAGTTCCCCAGTAACATGCTGGTAGGACAGGATAGTTCCCCAGTAACAAGCTGGTAAGACAGGATAGTTCCCCAGTAATATGCTGGTAAGACAGGATAGTTCCCCTTCAATATGCTGGTCAGACAGGATATTTCCCCAGTTACATGCTGGTAAGACAGGATAGTTCCTCAGTAACATGCTGGTAAGACAGGATAGTTCCCCTTTAACATGCTGGTAAGACAGGATAGTTCCCCTTTAACATGCTGGTAAGACAGGATAGTTCCCCTGGAACATGCTGGTAAGACAGAATAGTTCCCCTGTAACAAGCTGGTAAGACAGAATAGTTCCCCTGTAACATGCTGGTAAGACAGGATAGTTCCCCAGTAACATGCTGGTACGACAGGATAGTTCCCCAGTAAAATGCTGGTATGATTTGAAGAACCAACTCTCCTTTTAGCTGAGATTTGTTATGTGCTTGGAAACGCTTTTGTATCATTTCCGTGTCGGTGAGGAAGAATCCAGCTGGCGCATGTATTTTTGCATTAAGTTGAAAATTTCATGATTGAATTGTTTACAGCACAATGGCATTGTATGTTTATTGACTGGACGGCGACATGTGTTTCCATGTCCCTCGCGTCGACATACACGAGATTGATGGTCTGTCATACTGACACGTCAATAGGGAGGGATTAGCAGTGGCCAGAGAATATACACCATCAGGTGGACACAGCATGACCAATGTGCAATATCTTGATGATTACATTTACCATCGTCTCTCCATTATTGACGCATCCAAGTTATTATATTTGTTTTGTTATTTTTCCAGTAATGCGTGTTACATCGTTGTCAGGTTGTTGGGATTGCTAACAGTGTGTATGTGAGAGATAAACCTTTAAATATGTATATTTGATGAAATAGCCTTCCTTTATTACATGCTGACAGGAAGAAGGAGTTGTATTTCACGTAATGTGGTGTAAATGAAATGTTGAAAATAATAATCATTGCCAAAACCTAGATTTGTTGATAGGAGTGAATGAGTTAAGTTGAGCACCACTTTCAGTAATATCCACTGCTGGAATACCAGAAACGAGCTTCTCGCATTGTAACCATGTGGGGAATCGAACCCGGTCTTTGGAGTGACCACTAGGTTACCAGGAGACCGGGCGACACGCCCTAAACTGGGTTGTCTAATAACTCAACGAACAATGTCGGGATCGCTTGACACCACGAAGCACCTCACGATTCCAACCCGCCTGGGAACTGTTGTTCCACATGGCAAGCAACGCCGAAACGTTCTTCCAGGCGCCTGGTGACACGTGCAAGGCCATCAGAGATGTCCCGATGAAACCTGGGCTTTTCTTGGAAGATTACACTGTCCCCGTCTTACCTTTTAATTCCGATGCTGTCTACACTAAGCTTGGTATGGCAATCGGGAAGTACAATTGAACTAATCGCTGATGTTGGGGCCTGGCGTTGTGTTTCGTCAACCAGTTGCGTACAGTTCTGGAAGTCATAGGTCTGAATGGAAGAACTGTCCGAGCTGTTGTTGTGGTAGTTTAGTATCGGTTATATGCATGCACCAACCGAATATGGTTACCTTCTTGATGTGACGTCGCATGTTGACGACCTGTCCGTGGGACGATATTTTGTTTCGATGGATTAAAATGTCATTCAGAATATTCCTGTTTGTAGAATACCTACGGTGCTACGACCTTGATTTTCAGCATGCCGTGGTATTGCGGAAGCGTTAGCTGCGGTTCGATGTATTCATACGCACGTCTCGGCTGTGAAAAGGCTTGCTTTAAAATATGTTTCAATAGGACTGGATATTTTTACCAACTAAAATGGAAAAAGATTAATGAACTGATTTTATATCAATTTAGAGGTATATTTCGTGAACTTGACCTTATGAATTAACCCGTGACAGATATCATCATGCATTTAGTGACGAGATGCTGAATATATCTGGAAATAAACAAAATGGTTTTTCGATTCAAGAGAAAAAACACTTAATATCAAACTACTTCTGAATCGTTGAAAGTGGGTTTCAGAGATACATTGTGAAGATCAGTATGAAAATGCACTGTAAAAAGAAAAAATAAATTTCGGGACAGAAAATGTTAACAATGATTTGGTCGTGTCAATAATCTGTGGTTTATAACTTGTTTGACTCCACACTCAGCAATATTCCAGCTTGATAAAGGGTTGTCTATCACTTGGAAATAAATAACAAACAAGGTATTTTGTAATTGTATTAAGAGTCTAAAACTAAAATAAAATCATCTAAATGTCTTCGTAAACAATGTCGGCCTAAAAATCAAACAAACTTAGATATAGTAATTTCAAATAAATTTTGAAAGAGGCATTCTAATATATCATCCTCACTTCCAAACAAAAATATCCGCATTATAAACTAATTCCTCTTCAGCAATTCGATATTTGCATAAGTTATCGTCTATTTCTTGAAGATCCGGGTTATAATTGGTCTAAACGGCCCATGTTTGTCGTAAGAGGCGACTAACGGGATCGGTTGGTCAGGCTATAGTTACGAGTTAATGTTCAAAGGTGGTTGTCTTTTGACGTCTAACTGACCTTGACCCTTATTCTGACTGTGCGGACGGTGTGTCTTGCCAATATCAAAGTACAAGAAAGCATGGCATCAATTTGCAGGAACCGCCTCACGCTGATTTTTGTTTGTGTTCTCCCAATAGCGTCTTTATTTTATACCCACCATTGTTTCGTTCCCGTAGTAGATATACCTCAGAACTTGCCCAAACGTATTGTTAAGTCTCTGAATATCATCCGGGGATTTCGGAAATGACACCGATGGTGTATCCATCCAAATATGCATGGCATAATTCTGTCGCCAGTTGAAGTTAGTTTTATTAAACATGCCGTCCCTTTCAAACCAATTTGGGTTGTATAGTCTCTTCGTTTCCATGTTGACAGCTGTGGGGTTGGCCAGCCACAGTTGCTTAGCTTTGGCCATCGAGTTCGCATTGTAGGGCATCAGTGTGTAGTTCCTGTAATCTTTGTACCATCTGTTGATGAAGGGGGGGAGTGTCTCTTGGCGGCAATGAAGGCGTTACCCATCCCCGTTCCGTTGTCAAGGAGACCAAGTGTGATGTCATGGACCCTCAGTGGGTCCAGAGACCGCAGTACCACCATGTCCAGGTCCAGGTACACTCCGCCATTGGCTGAGAAACAAACACATGAATTCTGTGAGATAATAGTGTAGTATTCGATGTTAGCGACGGACTATATTTTGGGGTGGGGATTGGAACATATAACAACGCCTGTTCCGGAAAGCACAGGAAAGGAGGATGTATTCTCGGGTTCTACAAGAAAATAAAACTGTTTGTTGTTTATTCTGACAACGACTTGAATTTGATAGAATGGAATCATTGACAGCCAACACAAGCAATATTAACAGCATATGTCAACCACACACCCGGACACACACACACGCCCGCACGCACACCCATCCGCACACACACACACGCACACGTACGCACACACACACGCCCGTCCGCACACACACATGCACGCACACGCGCGCGCGCACACGCACACATACACACACACGCACACATATCACACACACACATATCACACACACATATCTCTCTCACACACACACACACACACACATTTCATTGCAAATAATGTTCATTACAATTATGTTTATAAAGGGCATACCTACAATAACCGTTCGTGTCAAAATTGGATCAACCAAACATATAAAACCAATACATCCATGGATAATTGTTTATTCATATGTTACAGAAATTGGAAAGAACTTGTCTATTAACCACCACTCACTCCTTCATCAAATTCTAAAAGGTAATCTTTGGGTGGGTATTTTCTTTCTAAAATGATTGATTCAATAAAACTGGGGTAAGAAAACACATGACCTCTTTCTTGCTGCAAATTATGTAAATTTAGGCCGAAAATCTGCAAATGTATTGACTTTCAAAGAAAAGATGTCTTAGATAGCAATGAGTTTTAAATCACATCATATTTCTAAAAATAAAACCATATTGCAGTTTTCTATTGAAAATAATGTGTTTCATTTGAGTTAACGTTTTGGATCTACTATCACGAACTGAAGATATTTTCTGCCCTTCAGTCTATTTTGATATGTTTATATAAGCATTGTTTCAAGATCGAAACCTAAGTGTAAAAGGCCGAAATTTCTACTGGCAGTGGTCATTACCTGTATATATGCTCACTGACACAGTAAATAGTTGATTCTTTTCTCAATCACGCTCTTCCCTCATTCGATACTACTCGTCCCTTTCCGTAACCTGAAAGAAGATCTTCTTTCAGGTTACGGAAAGGAACGAGTAGTTACTAATGTTCCCACACTCATGCACAGCGATGACTTAACATAACATCACTGCCACAGGCTAATTTACATATCACGTGATCGGACTTTTCTCTTGTTTGTAATCAAACGCGCATATTCATAATAAGAAGAGACTGGACTCACGAAAGCTTTTCGGCGCTCTCTTCATAATGTTTTACATTGTTACATATATATTCTTCCACAACTGCGACAGTAAGGTCTATGACAGTACATATTTAGATATCAAACTGGCTGCATCGTTAGCTCTCCATCAGCTTCGATGACAGCACGTGGAGCCGTACAACCTATGTAAACAAAGGATCGCTACGCAAATCGAAATAGTGTTACATGTTTTAGGATATTTTCTCAATGAAACTAAACCATTCTATCAAAGATGTTTAATTACTTGTGTAGACTCGTCAAAATAAAAGAGTTGAGAAATCTGTACATTATATTGAATGGACATTGCAAGATGTGACGAATCGTCACATTTTTGTGGCCTGTGGCAGAGATACTATGCTTGCTTGCCGCATGGAACTCTGGTCGTTCGCCAGCCCCGAGTTTTGACGTTTCCGCTATGATCAAAATGATCGTTTGATGGATATTTTTCAAAGTGCTGTTCTTATGCAAAACATGACAATAGATAAAATTAGCAACTGATGCAGATATGTGTCGTATCGATATATATTGTATTTTCAAATACCGAACTGTGTCTTATCTGTGTGACTGAACAAAGAAGTGAAAGTCTTTAGAAAATAGTTGGGAGAATCTGGATTTCGTTAATCGAACTTTCTCGGGTTAATAATGTTTAAATTTAAATAAACAAAATTAGAAGCATATAATAAATAGAACATTTCACGTGTCTATTGAAAAAAGACTTATCTATCATCTCGAAGCGTTTAGAAAAAATATCACAATTTTTATGTCACCCGATGACAAATACTATCATTATTTCACCTGAAACATCCTATATTTACTCAAAACTCCACATTGTAGAACAGCAGGAGACCATCTGAAACATACCTATGCACATATCAGAATAGGTGTAAATAGCGATGTTATTGCTTAAAACATATAATCATTAACACACCGAATGCGGCAGATTGAATAGCCCACGGAAATTTGATCGGAAATGGGTCTTACACTGTTTCCTTGCTAATAGTTTAACGCCCCACACGGCAACGTCCAAGCTGTGTGATGACAATCGGTAAATAGCAAAGTCACGACCAGACAATCGTTACCATCGATCTATGCAGTTGTTACACGATGATGTGCATCTGACAGTTTAGCAAGCATTGTTTAAACAGATTTTGCATTCAAATGAATAGCATATGGATCGATAACAAGTATTTGGAACTGGATATGACTTAATATATGGACAATGTATGGGCAACTCCTCAACGACGAGCGAGCGGATATTCTGTCATTACTGAGAATAGTTTTCATTAGTTGAGATATAATGGTGCAAATCTATTAGATTTCGAAATAAATTAGTGGACAGATTTGAAGATATTTCAATTAACAGGTTTCGTCAGAGTTACCGACCTTTTAACACCATGACATTACCGACTTCTTTATTCATTATATTTCGGACATGTGATACAGTAGAGTTGAGGATCTTCTAAGTGATGTCTACAAGGACAAATGCGGTTTATCGAGATAAGTTGTTCATATTCATGGGTCTAGTGAAATTAGTCCCGGTATTGACAGAGAGTTTACTGATCGTCCATTTTTTAACACTCCTCGGCTCACACATGTCAATTAATCCCCTTAGGATATGACTAAAAACTAGGACTAAAACTAAAAAGGCTAAAACTAAAACAGTTTATTCTTGAAAGTCAATCACTTCAAAGTGACCAATCACTGAGCAAAACTGCCAGCCAGCACACTGCCACAAGCAGAAAGTTGCTGAAGTTGCTGAAGTATTTCCAACACGACCTCTCTTCATCTGTTTCTGCCCACCTTGCAGCTGCAGAATATATACTTCTTTGTTAGTCCCAGTTTTGACAGCGAAACTTCATACCTTAACGGATCAGTGACCAAGACGCTGTCACAAATGGGACACTACCATATTCATGAACCTTCACGTTAACGTGTCACTAAATCTCTGCAACGGGGAAATGTTATACACATATAAAACGATACTTGTGAAGCAGTATAACATCAGGAACACTTCTTGTTATTTAACCAATTCTTAGTGGTGAGTGCATTATCTAAAAGGATCTTGAACCTAAGTTTAATTCAAAGTCCACTTACTTACACACTGGTTACAGCAAAATTGTGCATTCACACAGGAACCGAAATGAAATGTTTTTTTACACTGAGTTCACGCAGATATGACTGGCTGAAATTTAATTTGACATATCTTACGTAAACGTGTGTACAAGTCCTATCAAACTGGTAGATGACATTGTTATTGTACAAGGACAATTCATTATGGTAGATTCACAGTCACTCACCCACCCACCCACCAACTCACTCACCCATCCATCCATTCACTCACTTACTCATTCACTCATTCACTCGCTTCGTATTGACTACATTCACTTACCTAGAAGCAGTTGCAGCCGAATGATGTCGGACATGTGGGTCCTATGCTTGACGGTGACGTTGTTGAGACGTTTTGGTGGGAGCCTGTAGATGACCCTGACCCCCAGTTCCTTCTCGGCTTTGTCCGCCCACTGTCCCGACAGAGTCACATCACTCACTACGTATATAGCCCACGGCTCCACAAACTTCTTTGCGCTCAAAAAACTTACATAGTGCAGGAAAGTCGGCTCTCTTATCCCCATGGATACGTAGTACACGATTTTAGGAACGAGGCTGCCGCCATCTTGATTCACGTCGTCAAGGTTTTTGCTTTCTGGTAGAAGACATGTCATGTTTTCTCTCGATTTGTTCTGTGAGCGGAACCATCGACATATGACGTCACTGACCCCGGCATGCTCGTCACACAACCACTTGGATTCCATGCATGAGGCGGATGGGTCTATGTCGTGAAGCAGGTGGTAGGAGCAGGTGCTTGGCCAACTGACGTTACCGTTTCTTAGGAAGTAAGTCACATGATGGATGCCACTAAATCTCAGCAATGGGGAAATGTTATACACATATAAAACGGTGCACGTGAAACAGCAAAACATCAGGAATCTAATGTATCTCCTTATGGCAAAGATGTCCATTTGTGACGGTTTTTACAGTTCTCGTTTCCTGCAAAAAAGTTACAAACAATTACAACAAGATAATTCCAATTCACTTTAAATAACTCTTGAATGGCAGCCATGCATGTCCTAACTGAGCCAGATAAGTGTTTGAAAGTAGTAGCAACGTCGGATACGACGACACACTACCACGTCGGATACGACGAAACACAACCACTACAAATACGATGACACACAAACACGCTCAAGTTGTTACATTTGTAATGCCGCGAATCTCCATAAGTTGGCTGTTACGACAATAATTAGTTACTAGATGCCTATTCGGTCTCAGAAGGATGTAATGAATATCAGCAACATTTGTGCACAACATAATACGGTGGTATACAACCATACCCACAACAATCAAGTACAGAAACAATATGCATATGGCAGATAAAAATTCCTTCCAGTAACATATGTGCCTTTGTGTTATAGGTTAAATTCTCTTAGACATGACATTTTGTAGCAATCTCCGTCGCTTGATTACTGAGTGAGTGTGTGGGAGTGAATTGGCTTTAAAGGCAAATTCACTCCGCTTTGAAAAGTATTTCGCATATTAGATGCTTGACTGGCATTTTAGAAGGTGATATTTGATGAACATAAGGAATTTTCTGGATTTCATCAGATGAAGAAGATGAAATCCAGAAAATTCTTTATGTTATTTCACATATATTACAGCGTGGCTGTTTGAGGTGGAGGAAAGGTTAAGGTGCTGACATACCTTCAAACATAAACAGGAAAATCTTGGATTCGTCCCACCGACAATAGTTCTCTGCCACACGTTAGCGGCGCTGGCCTGTCTTCGACGATTAGGACACCAACACTGTTGAATACGGGAAACAACGAATATTAAAGTGTAACACTGATCATAAACTCCTCATACTGGCAGTTGATAAGTCAGGACTTCAGTTCTCAGACCTGGAGCGTAATCGAGTTAAAGCCATAAAGTTTCTTCGTATGGTTATTTTCTCCATCAACGCTGAATAACCAGGCAGGATTTGTTCATTCATGTCGGGCCTGAGATGCATGTACAGACCAGGTGGCGCTTCATTAGCGGGCGTCACTGGGTGTTCGGAGTACAGTGGGAAACCAACGGGAATCAATAGACCGCCCTGCTACAGTTTCATTAGTTTTTTGGGACTCAAAAACATGGTTAATTATTCAGTCTAGCGAACAATGTTTCTGAAAAAGAAACTCGTGACAAATAATGTATTCCTGTCAGGAAGGACAGGTTTTTTAAAATATGATATTGTGTTACTAGTACAATAGCAAAAGCTATACCGATCGTACCATCCACTGGTGTACTGGCGGTGGTACAACAGCAATAGCAATGTGGCTCGTACCATCCGCTGGTGTACTGGCGGTGGTACAATAGCAATAGCTATACCGCTCGTACCATCCACTGGTGTACTGGCGGTGGTACAACAGCAATAGCTATACCGCTCGTACCATCCACTGGTGTACTGGCGGTGGTACAATACCGCTCAGCAATAGCTATACCGCTCGTACCATCCACTGGTGTACTGGCGGTGGTACAACAGCAATAGCTATACCGCTCGTACCATCCACTGGTGTACTGGCGGTGGTACAACAGCAATAGCAATGTGGCTCGTACCATCCGCTGGTGTACTGGCGGTGGTACAATAGCAATAGCTATACCGCTCGTACCATCCACTGGTGTACTGGCGGTGGTACAACAGCAATAGCTATACCGCTCGTACCATCCACTGGTGTACTGGCGGTGGTACAACAGCAATAGCTATACCGCTCGTACCATCCACTGGTGTACTGGCGGTGGTACAACAGCAATAGCTATACCGCTCGTACCATCCACTGGTGTACTGGCGGTGGTACAACAGCAATAGCTATACCGCTCGTACCATCCACTGGTGTACTGGCGGTGGTACAACAGCAATAGCTATACCGCTCGTACCATCCACTGGTGTACTGGCGGTGGTACAGCAGCAATAGCTATACCGCTCGTACCATCCACTGGTGTACTGGCGGTGGTACAACAGCAATAGCTCGTGCCACTGGTGTACTGGCGTACAACAGCCATCGTACCATCCACTGGTGTACTGGCGGTGGTACAACAGCAATAGCTATACCGCTCGTACCATCCACTGGTGTACTGGCGGTGGTACAACAGCAATAGCTATACCGCTCGTACCATCCACTGGTGTACTGGCGGTGGTACAACAGCAATAGCTATACCGCTCGTACCATCCACTGGTGTACTGGCGGTGGTACAACAGCAATAGCTATACCGCTCGTACCATCCACTGGTGTATTGGCGGTGGTACAACAGCAATAGCAATGTGGCTCGTACCATCCACTGGTGTACTGGCGGTGGTACAACAGCAATAGCAATGTGGCTCGTACCATCCACTGGTGTACTGGCGGTGGTACAACAGCAATAGCTATACCGCTCGTACCATCCACTGGTGTACTGGCGGTAGTACAACAGCAATAGCTATACCGCTCATACCATCCACTGGTGTACTGGCGGTGGTACAACAGCAATAGCTATACCGCTCGTACCATCCACTGGTGTACTGGCGGTGGTACAACAGCAATAGCTATACCGCTCGTACCATCCACTGGTGTACTGGCGGTGGTACAACAGCAATAGCTATACCGATCGTACCATCCACTGGTGTACTGGCGGTGGTACAACAGAAATAGCTATACCGCTCGTACCATCCACTGGTGTACTGGCGGTGGTACAACAGCAATAGCTATACCGCTCGTACCAGAACTGGTGTACTGGCGATCGTACCATCCACCGGTGTACCATCCACTGGGCGGTGGTACAACAGCAATAGCTATACCGATCGTACCATCCACTGGTGTACTGGCGGTGGTACAACAGCAATAGCTATACCGATCGTACCATCCACTGGTGTACTGGCGGTGGTACAAAAGCAATAGCTATACCGCTCGTACCATCCACTGGTGTACTGGCGGTGGTACAATGATACCACTGACACCTGGTACACGTGCACGTGGATGACGACATAACGGACGTTCCACTTGTTGGCAGAAAACTTCATCTGTGAGCGAGACCAGGGCTGGTACTCCTGTCAGATCAAGACAAGTCACATCGTCAAACAAACGTTCACAATTTAAACCTCATGAAAATGTGCGCCAGAAAAAGAACTCGGGATTCAAGGGGTAACGCCATACGCCATGGAATTACCATCTCCATGGGGACACGTGTAGCCACAGGATGAATGTCATAACCATCTCCATGGAGACACGATTAGCCACAGGGTGCTTGTCATTATCATCTCTATATAGACACGTGTAGCCAGAGGGTGTTTGTCATTACCATCTCCAGGGTGTTTGTCATTACCACAGAACGTGTAGACAGAAGAGGGTGCTTGTCATTACCATCTCCATGGGAGACACGTGTAGCCAGGGTGCTTGTCATTACCATCTCCATGGAGACACGTGTAGCCAGAGGGTGTTTGTCATTACCATCTCCATGGAGACGTGTAGCCAGAGGGTGCTTGTCATTACCATCTCCATGGAGACACGTGTAGACAGAGGGTGCTTGTCATTACCATCTCCATGAGAGACGTAGCCAGTAGCCAATGGAGGGTGCTTGTCATTATGAAGGCACGATTAGCATCTACCACCTCCATGGAGAGGGTGCTTGTCATTACCATCTCCATGAAGGCACAATTAGCTAGAGGGTGTTTGTCATTACCATCTAGACACAGGGTGCTTGTCATTACCATCTCCATGGAGACACTCCATGGAGACACGTGTATCTCCACCAGAGAGGGGTGCTTGTGCATTACCATCTCCATGAAGGCACGTCATTACCATCTCCATGGAGACACGTGTAGCCAGTAGCCAGAGGGTGCTTGATCATTACCATCTCCATGGAGACGCACGTGATTAGCCAAGAGCCCAGGTGCTGCTGTCATTACCATCTCCATGGAGACACGTGTAGCCTCCCACACAGAGAAGGTGCAATTGTCAGATTACCATCTCCATGGAGACACGATTAGCTAGAGGGTGCTTGTCATTACCATCTCCATGGAGACACGTGTAGACAGAGGGTGCTTGTCATTACCATCTCCATGGAGACACAATTAGCTAGAGGGTGCTTGTCATTACCATCTCCATGGAGACACGTGTAGCCAGAGGGTGCTTGTCATTACCATCTCCATGAAGACGTGTAGCCACAGGGTGCTTGTCATTATCATCTCCATGGAGACACGTGTAGACAGAGGGTGCTTGTCATTACCATCTCTATGGAGACACGTGTAACCAGAAGGGTGCTTGTCATTACCATCTCCATGGAGACGTGTAGCCAGAGGGTGCTTGTCATTACCATCTCCATGGAGACACGTGTAGACAGAGGGTGCTTGTCATTACCATCTCCATGGAGAAACGATTAGCTAGAGGGTGCTTGTCATTACCATCTCCATTGAGACGTGTAGACAGAGGGTGCTTGTCATTACCATCTCCATGGAGACACGTGTAGCCAGAGTGTGCTTGTCATTACCATTTCCATGGTGACGTGTAGCCAGAGGGTGCTTGTCATTATCATTTCCATGGAGACACGTGTAGCCAGAGTGTGCTTGTCATTACCATCTCTATGGAGACACGTGTAACCAGAAGGTGTTTGTCATTACCATCTCCATGAAGGCACGATTAGGCAGGGGGTGCTTGTCATTACCATCTCCATGGAGACGAGTGTAACCAGAGGGTGCTTGTCATTACCATCTCCATGAAGGCACGATTAGCCAGAGGGTGCTTGTCATTACCATCTCTATGGTAATATGACATGTGTAACACACAATGGTTCAAGCTTAGTAGAGTATTTTCTAGCTTCTAGTGACTTATTCCAGTACTTCAGTGAGTTTAGAATTTTAGCACGGGACGATTCCTCACATTTTCCTCTTTCTTGTACCCTGTCATGGGATAATCATGTTGAAAATAATGAAATCGCCAGTATAGACAATGCGGTTGTATATTCAGAAACTTGTAATGTTGAGCCTTGGTATAAGTATGCATGGAATAAGAAAAAAGCGAGACTCTTTTTGACAAACTTTCAAGAAATGTTTTTGCCAGTTTATGATTCCCTATACAGATCTGTAACAGATGATGTAGTACAGTGTGTTCTTGAAATTACCAGACTATACCAATCAGCAGCAATATGTATGAGGAAAAGTTATCCTTGCCACTGAAAAGTTATATCTGGAGCGCAACAACCACCATGGTGGGATGAGGAATTGGAATACTACAAGCATCAAAAGTACTTGACACTAAATAGATGCCGGCAGTCCGGTATAGATTTTGACAGATACAGAAGCCTACGGAATAAATTTAAGTCCTTATTCTCAGTGAAAAGAGAGATCTATCACACCCAACAGAGGTCATTACTTATGGAATCTAGAAATGATCCTAAAACATTCTGGAAGATTCTAAAAAGGCATAGAATTGAGAGAGATTTGCCAAAGGAAATCAGTGCTTATCAGTGGTTCAATCATTTTGAGAAATTGTTACATGTACGTTCTGCTGACAATACCGATGATATTATTTCTTATATAGATGAGACTTCCCATCCTTGTTTTGAACAGGTTACCTTATGTTCTGATTTGGGTGATGACATTGGTGTTGATGTTGTGGAAGAACTGAACATTCCTTTTACTGAGGCTGAAATTGAGTTGAGTCTGTCAATCTTAAGCAAGATAAATCACCGGGGGAGGATGGCATTCCAAGTGAACTTCTGAAAAGCACTAAACTATATATTGTTCCTTTGTTGACACAAGTCTTTAATACTTTGTTTGATGGTGGTGTATTTCCAGCTCAATGGGGTAAAAGCATTATCTGTCCATTACATAAGTCTGGAGATAGAAAGAGTGTTGATAATTATAGAGGGATTTCACTAATAGACACTCTATGTAGACCCCTTGCTGCTGTTTTAGATAAGAGGTTGAGAACTTGGTGTGATAAGAGAAATATTATTTCGGAGTTACAAGCTGGTTTCAGACCAAATTACTCAACTGTTGACCAGATATTTTCCTTGCAAGCAATGATTCAAAAGCATCTCTCCAAGAAAAATGGTAGGTTCTATTGTATATTCATTGATTTTAGCAAGGCGTTTGATTGTATAAATCATAGAGTTCTGTTTCAGAGTTTATATGATATCGGTGTTAAAGGTAGATTTCTTA